TGCGTAGCTGAACTTTGGTGAAACATGTATTAGTCTTCACTGGAAGAGGAGGCTGAGGGGAGGCCTCATGGCAGGGTACAGCTCCTCACAAGGAGAGCAGAAGGGCAGTGCTGAGCTCTGCTCTGTGTGACAGACAAGACCCAGGGAACGGCATGGAGCTGGGTCAAGGGAGGGTCAGGCAAGGTTAAGGACAGTGTCCGCACCAGAGAGTGGTTAGGCATGGGACAGGCTGCCCAGGGCAGCGGGCATGGCCCCAAACTGCTGGAGTTCAGGGAGCATTTGGACAATGCTCTCAGACATTGGTTTTGGATGGAGTTGGACTCAGTGATCCTTGTAGGTTCATTCCAACTCGGGATACTCTGTGATACTATGCTTCTGTGAACAAAGCAAGTTGAGTTCAGTAGGGAGAAATTGCTTGTAAATGAAACCTGGGCACCCTGCTTGGCTTCAGAACATTGCCAGCCACGACCAGAGCCCTCCTTCCATCGCACCGTGACGCATCAAGTAGTAACCTATGGGGAAAGCGCGGATCATCTCATCATCTCATCACTGGCACGGATGAGAGTCCCACAGCTGCGTATTTCAGGAGTTGCCCTTAGCTTCCTGAATTCTAACAAAAGAAAAACTGTTTCTTTTTTAGCTCAGCTCAAGTCTTGCTGAACTGCCTGGTAGGAGGTCAGATCTTTCAAAGATGTCTCTTACATCCTTTTTGACCAGCCCTGAATACATGGTCTTGAACAAGATGTGTGCAGTGCTAGTGGCTCATTCAGTGAGAAAATACTGATTTTGAGGACAGGCATGAGAGTAAAGCAGAATATACATCCCACTATAATGTGATTTAATGGACAAACAGCCATACATTATATTTAGGTTTTTACAGCTGCTAAACATGTTAGTACTTAAGCATTCAATGGGATTATAAGCCTTACTTCTTTTAAAATGCTGAGCTTCAGAGGAAGGCTATTTTCTTACAGCATCTAGCATCACGTCTAAAGGGTGTGAGATATTATTTTTAAAAATGTCAAAGCAGAGTTCATCCTTCATGTATTAAGCTTCATTCTATTTCAATTTTTGCATTTTCTCCTGCACAGAATTCCCGCTCCCTTCCACTCTGCCCCCGGTATCCCAGCTGTTCACAGTTCCTTGGCTTCAGCTTTATGAAATGAAGCCAAGAAACAAATTTCAGCAAAACCAACAGAATTTGCAATTTGCTCTACCTTTTCCAGGGAGAACCTTCTATCTGTGTCTCAAAATTTACTTTGCCATAGCAGCATTCCTCTAATCATGCCTTATCAGTTTGTTGAGCTCGTATCTTTATATCAATGGGACCCCTACAGATCTCCTATGGAGGAAGCAAAAAATGCTCATTATATTCACAGCTGGGCTGTCCTGAACCTCTCTTTGAAAATCAAAGCAGTTCAATTATTATTCTTATTCTTCTCTTTTGCTCGCTTCTGCATTGCTGGTTTTATCAGGGAAATGAGATGGGCACCCAAATACAGGTCAAGGTTAGGATTTACTCAAGGTCTGTTTCTAGCAAAATACTGATCTTACTGGGCTTGGGCATAGCTTTGGCAACCCTCTGGAGAAAGACTTTTATTTCTTGCCTTACCAGTGTCATACCTTGAGTGGCCTTAAATCCTCAAGATAGCAGAAAAACAACCCAGAAAATTGGATCATATCCTGCTGGGTGAGTGATTCGCATAGTTCACTGTAGGATTTGTTGAGCTATAGGAATTGTCTCAAGGAAAAAGAGAGGCCCACACGGCTGGGAGAAGAGGAGAGAGAACAAATACAAATTTGGTAAGGCAGGATATCCCTTCTTTTCAGCAGAAACAACTATGTTGCCTGAGCTGCCCCTGTACCGAGCCCCGAACTTGCCTATGGTGGAGCAAGTTCATCAGCCCCTCCTGAACACATGGTTCATTTAGGAAGTGGAAAAGATATTTTATCTCTTATCTATTTTTATCTATCTGACAAGTTTGTAGAGACAAACAGCAGTCCTCCCTCCAGACACTTCCTTCTCTACTCCTTCACTCTCTTTCCCTTTGCACAGCTGCAGGCTGTTCCTGTTCATGGGTGGCATAAGAGAGAGGCTCTGAGTTTAGAGCCAGCTTAGCACATACAACTGGGAAGACTTTCCTTCATTCTAATTGACCCGCAATTCTTTTTGATGCAACCGAGGAGGTAAAAACCCTCTACCTCAATAAAACTCCACTTTCAGCATTTTGTCCTCCAAGGTTTAAATTTATCACATGTACATTTCTTCCGTTCAGGCTTTTCCTCCAGGCTCCATGTTGTCTATTACTGTGTTTAAAAATGATCTGTGTTGACACAGGACTGAGTGGGCACTTTGTATTATCAGCTCCGGCACTTGCCCATGTCCTTTATTTCAAGCAACAAAAATGTATTTCACAGCAAGACATTTTCTTGAAAGGTTTTCCACTGACAATCTGTCTAAAAAGAGATGCTGCTGAAGAAGGCAGAAGGCAGGGTTTCTCCAACTTGTTTGGTGGAGTTATTGAGGAAATTGCTTGGGGCTTTGAGGCTGCTGCCATGGACCTGCGTGCATGCAGAGGAGCTTGCTATGCACTGCTCTCTCTTCTTCAACAGCAGGCTCTTTCTTTCCACTGCTATTGGTAGAACTGTCTTTAATTATCCTCTTTGGACTTCTGTGCGCAATAATCAGTAGTTAATTACAAACAATTAAACAAATTGATGTTCTAGGGTAATAGAGAAGGGTGACAAAGAGAAAAGAGCTGGAGCTGATTCCAACAACAGACAGTGCTGATGATGGGGCTATAGGGCATTCAATGGGAGAGGGCTGCAGTGAGAACCAAAGTCTCTTTCCTTTGTTGGAAATTTGCATTTGCAATTTACTTTGGCATTGCCATCTCTGCTGTAAGATATCAGCTCAGTTTTGCAGGCAATTCTGTTAATTTCCTGTAGTCTGATGGGAAAATGGCTCACTGGAGAATGGCAGATTCAAAGGCATTGCTGCTGCTTGTCCTGGAGTCGCACGGGTTTTCCAAGGTATCTCAGAGAAGAGCTTTCAGGCTCAGGAAGTTCAGGTTGAATATTGGGAAATTTTTTTTATCAGGAAGTGTAATAAAGCATTGGAACAGGCTGCCCAGGGAGGTGAGGGAGTCATCGTCCCTGGAGGTGTTCAAGAACCATGTGGATGTAGCCCTGAAGGATATGGTTAGTGGTAAAGATGGTTGGACGAAGTGACCTTAGAGATCTTTTCCAACTTTAATGATTCTACGATTCCAGTGGGGAGGTGAAGGTTTCATAGAAGTGGCCCAGATGTGTGGCAGAGCTTCTTCCCAGGAGCATCAGCCATACTAGAGAGAACTCTTGAGCCTGAGGTTTTTGTCATATGCCCCCTGCATGAAGGATGGCACATCTTAAATTGTGCACTTGTTTATAGTTTGATGCTAACACTAGCAAAGGGAATTAATGGTCTGTCTCTGGAATTTTTTTGTTGTTCTCTCCTTGCCATGGTCTCGGGTGGGAGGCAGAAATTTCTTTCATTAGCGAGAGAGAGCAATCTTGTTTTGAATTATTACTTCCTAATGACGTTCGCTCAGTACCCCGAAGGCACGTGGGGGAGGAGGAGCTGCTTACATCCCCCCACCCGCGTGCAGCCCCACTCGCGTGTATTTGCCCACGGCCATCGGGCCCCCGAAGCAGCCAAGCCCTGCCCACGGGACCCACGGGGCTGGAAGCGGGAGCCGCGGCTCCGAGCCGGGCCGGCAGGGGGCAGCGCTGCTCCGGGCACTCGAGCCGGGCCGAGCCAAGCCGAGCCGGGTCGAATCGAGCCGTGCAGAGACGAGCAGTGCCTGGGACTCATCCTGATCCATCACTAGGAAGTGATTTTCCGTGGCCGTGCTCCAGGCTCTGTGTAAATTATAGCGTTCCTCCTGCCATGCGCCTTCGTGGTATTTTCCTTGGGGTCTAAAATATTAATTAAAAAAAATAGCCCTTTTACAATGCACCACTATATTAAACTTACAACGCTGTAAATCGGCGCCGTAAAACTGTAACTCAAGGGCTGGGTGTTAGACAATCCTGACACGCTGCTGTGGGAGCGGCGAAGATCTTAACAAATTGCATCATATACAAGTTTCTGCAATGAACATAAAACTTCCCATTTTGTACCCCCATTAGTTGGTTTTTACAGTATTTTCAGGGGCAAAAACATAAAAATGGCAAACAATGCAAACAAGCAAATCAATTCTGAAAAATAAAAGTTGATGTGAGCCGGCATCCAGAAACTGAGTGACAGTTCGGCTTTCCTCTTTGCTTGTTTGTGTATTAGGAATGGTTTGAGAAAGCTGAGTTAATTTAAAAGTATTTTCCCTTTAAAAATATTTTCCCTTCAGCTTCTTTGCCTCCCACACGCACATCAGGACGGGTACTGCTATAAAAAGTATGGCAAAATTGGTCGTTTTTTACCTTATTTTCAGCGTGATCTCCAGATTTCTACCCCTCAAACGAAACCTGTGTTTTGATCCCTATTGCTTTTTGTGGCTCACAGACGCTCTCAAGGGGCTTATGCCCCCACAGCAAACAGCAAACACTGACTCAGTCTGCCCATTTTGTTTTGACCTTCAAAGTACTGCCCTGCCTGTTTCTCCTCGCTATCGGAACCTTGGCAAGAAGTTTTGTGATCATAAATAGAGGTGTCATTACAAAGCAATAACACGGGCTGTGGCTCTCCCTCTCCCTGAGAGGTGGGCAAGGGTACACAGCTTGTTACTTCTCCCTTTCTGTGTGAGGGAGCTGAGAGCTACAGTGCGTTCTGAAGTTTCCTGAGACATCACAGATCAGGTCCTCTGGCAAAGAGGGGAAGCAAGCACTGAATATTCTGATGCGAGTAACTTGCCCGCAGTGAAGAAAATCCTTTAATGTGAGCATGGTGTAGGTAATGCAGTATTTATTTACCGCAAAGAAATTGTAAAGAGCACAGCATTGATTTCTTGGGTTTTATTTTTCAGGTCACTTTCACGGGGCTTGGTCTGCTGGGGGGATTTTCTGAGAAGCATTTGAATGGCTGAAGACCTACAGTGCTGACCCCCGACCTGAGCAAGGTTTGCTGCTTGCAGTATTCCTGGAATGACACAGGAGCTCCTGCTGGAGTCAGGCCAGGACATTAAACAAAGCTGATTTTGAGGGCAAGAGGACAGATCTCCTGCAAAGAGATACTGATCACTCTGCAGCATTTGACTCTGTTGACCGTGAATCCTTGCTGGGCCCCATGAGGAGAGGGGCTGCCATCTGGAGTGAATGATTTGGTGGGACAAAGCTGTTTTGGAGCAATGTGAACATATGCCCCATGGCTAATTGTGGTGCTGTCCCACAGGGACCAATGCTTTTCCCTTTTCTGCTGACCTACCTGAGCACAAAGTCACTGTCCCTGGAAGTGTTCCAGAGCTGTGTGGATGTGGCACTGAGGGACATAGTGGGCATGGTGGGGGTGGATTGATAGTTGGATGAAATGATCTTAGAAGTCTTTTCCAACCTTAATGATTGTGTGATTCTAAGGTGTGGGAAACAGTGATTTTCCCCAACCACTTCAAGAGCATAATGTCATTGTGCCATACCCTCTCCTCAAGCTTTAAGAGGACACATAGTCAAATGCAAATTTCTAGTCTGCGAAAGTTTTAGTAGTCTTGACCGAAGTATCTTTAAGACTTCACCTTATCAGCATTTTCTGAATTATGAGGGAGTCTCTCCATGTCCCACTGCAGCAAAAGGTAAGATGGGGAAAAGGCAGCTCTCTGGTATCCTTCTCCAGCACTCAGTGTAAGCATTGGTTAGCTGCAATCTAAAGTGTGCAAAAAAGACTCCTCATCTGGGATAGCTAGAACTTGCCTTTCAGAGATGCCCAGCATCTTCAAATTGCTTTGTACTTCTCAGGAGTGGGGGATGTTCAGTGCCTCTGGAAAATAGGTCCTTTGTGACTGGAGCAAGGTAGCACCGTGTTTCATCCTCTGTGTTGCAACTGGCCTTAAGGGTTTTCAGCCTTCCCATCCCACATGCTGGCCTCAGAGTGGCTGGCAGGATGGTGTGGTTACTGATGCAATGCATAATCTTTCTTTTCTCCCCCCTCTATGTAATTCTCATCTTCAATGTTATGTATGTTTAAGCCATACACTTCTAGAAAGGAGTGTTAAAAAACTCAACTAAATTCAGAATAGAGAGATGAAAAGAAGCATTCTGTGGCTTTGGCAAAGCTGGCGGTACTAAGGGGAGAGACAATCCCAGGCATTCTTTGCTATTGAAGTTAATTGCAGGCATCTAGGGTTTAAAGACCTTGTGTTATTGATGGGGGTGTGCTAGCAACAGGAGGGATTGACTCTAACATTAAACTGGAATTTAGCATGTACAGTACATTATCGAGAGAAAGAAATAAGAACAAATGAGACTGTTATTATCTTTTATTATTATCTTTTAATTCCCCCCATTTTCCTTCTGTATGCTCACTCTCTCAGCCCTCTCTCTTTCAATAATTACAATAATCAACTTACAATGATAACAGAAATAATCTCCTGCAAGATAGCTAAACAAACCACACGTTATCTGTACTCAACTGTGCTCACTTACAATAGGTATATCACTTATGGAAAAGCCAATAAAGTTTTAATTAAAAAAGCGTGTAGGTTGTCAGTTAAGATGCAAAAGAGTGTGGAAATAAATGCAAAGTGGCCTATAAATTGCTTGGTATTTGAGAGAACGGGTAGGAGGGCAAAACCACCCCAAACAAAACCAAACCAAATGAAACCCTCCAGGTCTGAGGAACTCTATTTATGTTGCTCTATACAGAGCACTAATTGCCTGGGAATTCAAAAGAAGGGGGAAGGGAGAATCCTCCCTTGAGCGACAATCACATCCACCCACCTCCGTCAGCACTGGTAGCAAGCGCGGAAAAGTTAATTAAAGATTTTGCATCTCACAACCGCAGCGCTGGATTGATAGCTCTGGAACCTGAGATAAACGAAAGCTCTCCCACACTGTATCACCAATACGCCTCCAACCTTACCCTGGAGGCACCACCTCTGGGGATTACATGTTTGGTTTCCCTGGTATATGCAGGGCCTGGCCTCTGCTAAGACTGAAAGAGGACTGACAGATGCAAACTGATATGTAGGTGTTCATCTCGCAAGTGCAGGTCTGCATTCCTGTGGCAGAAGTCATGGTGGCCTGAGAAGGCTTCAGTATTTCTGTGCTGGCTGTTCTAAACATGCCAAAAGAGTGTCACATGAAGGCTATTTGGCACAGAAACCACAGAAAGAAAGAATTGGTGCACAGGTGCTGTGAATGTGAAACAGTTCTTCAGCTGACCAAAGTGGAAGGTCTGCTGGAGCCTATTGCAAAATGAAGAAAGTCTACAGTTCACAACGTGTAGTTCCCCGAGTTTGCCTTGCTCCCCGTAGTCTTCATCTCTTTTGGTTCTGGTGTGAGATCTAGGCTTGGTCTGCTTCAATCACTTCTTGGAAGACTCCAAGCTCTGTTGCTGCCAGTTATCAGTGGGAGGAGATTTCAGCAGCAATGGGAAGATCAGCGTGGGTCAATGGTTATGCTGTGTACAGCTCTCCCTCAGTGAGTGAGCAAATGCCTCCTGGGATTGTATTCTAGTTGCAGAAACAGCCCTTTGGATAACAGCATGATAAATGCCTTTGTGGTGTGAGGCAGTGTTGGAAATTTCTTCTTCTTGCTTGCTTCAGGTGTAATGGGTGCCTATCCCTTGCACAGACTGCCAAAATGAGCACTTTCATGTGGAGAGAAGAGAGGCCACGAGGTGGAAGGACCGATTGATTTCCTCTTGGAGTACATTGCAGTGGTACACCTCCTGCCACGGGACACTGAGTTTTGAAGCTGTTATAAATAGATAATGCTTACATATTTCTCTTTACATTTGCGGTGACCCACAGGCCATGCCTAATTACAGAATCACAACAGCCTACGGCAGGGCATCGAGGATCAGCCTACTTTAGACAAGAAATTGAGGCAATAGTATTAAAATGCATGACCAGGGTTAGAGATGAGACGTCAGTGAGAAAGCCAAGGTTGAAACATCAGACTTACATATTCCCAATCCTGTGCTTAACTTGTGTCTCAGGCAAAGAAATTGATGTTAATTGATGTTCGCTTTCATTGGAAGATCTCAAATTGTTTTGTGTCCTGATTTGCTATCCCTGTGCTACTCTGTTGTAAGCCAGTGGTCATTCAGAGGTGAAAAGGCTGCTCTGTGCTGCATTTTTGTACGACCTCTATGACCTCCAGCTCCTTGCAGGGAGGACGTGGCTGGGGATACTCACTGCTCTGTGGGGGCTGCAATGGAGGAATGACAGAAGACACTGAGGAAAGGTGGACTGCAGGAAGAAGGCTGGGTAGAGGTTGAGAGGATGTAGTATGTCAGTGGCACGTGTCATAGCCTCTGGGCAGCGTGGCCATACATTTGGGGGACTTTGGGATGTGAGGGGTGTCCGGAAATACTGCAAGGAGGTCCTTGCAGAGAGGAGGCTGCAGTGTCTGAGGTGGGTAGGACCACTTTGAGAAGGACTGGGAACAGAATCTGGACAAGGGAGAATAAAAGCTCATCCTTGTTGGCTTTCTTCAGAAAGAGCATTTCAGCCCCCACATTTTTACACCAGGCACTGAAGGAGAAGCAAGCTGTGGCCATCGGGCTGAGTCCAAGCCAAGACCCTTTGGGACCAGCAAAGAGGGGGCTAGTACTTAGGGACCTGATTGAGTGCTCTGACACTAGGCTGCATGATTGTCCTGGGAGAGCTGCCAGAAGCAAAGTGGCTTTGACATTCTTGCCATAGTAAACCCCTCACAAAAGTGTCCCAGTCTCACAAAAGGCATCATCCCTCAGAAAGCAGGAAGGAGAAGGCCACTATTAGCAACCACTGTGGAAATCCAGGGGCTCGCATCCAAGGCCAGATGTGGGTTCCCAGTTTGCCTCTTCTATGCCATATCCACCAGCAGTGAAAAGGCTCTGCTTATAGCAGGGGCAATTTCCTCTACAAATGCTTGTGAACAGCAGACATGACTTCTTTTCCCCTCTTGTTCTGATTAGGGAACTGCTCTGTTATTCTAGCAAGTCTGAAATTAGATACAGGTGCAAATTAACCGAGTCACAAGTGCATTACATTTGGTAATTTTTCTGTCAAGAGTCATGTTGAAAGGTTGCAGAGAATAACAAGAGTTGCTGAAAAGCAAGTGCCTGGTCCAGGTGTGCCCTGCTGCCCGTGCAACCCTGAGGAAGCAAGGTCTGTCTTCATATCCCATTCTGTGAATTCACTCCTTTCCTGTTAATTTTCTTCCTCTGGTTTTGTTGCCATCCCCCGTGGCTGGCCACAGCTGTCTCCTAGTCCTCAGGGCCGTGATTGCAGAACAGCAGTTGTCATGGTTATGTCACTGCCCTGGAATTTCACAAAGCGTGGATCCTCCTCCTTGCGTGGTGTGGGCCCTGTGTATTTTCCAGCTGAACAGAGAAGGGCTGTTATCTGCCAATCCGCCCAGCTATTACATGTAGATGAGAGGATCCAGCTCCATCCACCAGCAGGTGGATCGATGGATCTCCCACTCCTCCTCAACCCAACTGCTGCCTTTCAGAGCAGCTGGAAAGAGAGCAGTTTCTGTGAGGGTAGCTCCCTAGTAAGTCCAATTGGTTGCACTGTCACAGTGCACCCACCGGATGCCTCATTTGTCTTCCCCGTCTCTAAGGAGGTGTGAGCATCTTGTGTAGAGCATAGTATAAATAGTTTTGGAGAGGTGGGTGGCATAGGACAATAAGACAGCAGGAGAATGTATGAAGGTATTATTCTGCTGGGGCCGCTCACAGCTGTGTAATGCTCATTTTGCAGAGGGGATGTTTCTGGCTTCCTATGACGTGTTGCTCATCAATTTAATTCTGACGATCTTGAAATTCAAGTGCAGTAACTGCAGGGAGGCTTGGTTCCAGCCACCCTCATTGCGAGACTTTCTGCCCTTATGTGCACTAATTGGCCCAAGAGATTACGAGGTGCGTGAGCCATGGAACTGAGCTCCTGCCTCAAAGTTCTCAGATGAAGCTGTGCGTATATCTGTCAAATCAACACTGCAATGAGTTGGCAGGGCAGTGTGTGGATAAAGCTCGTCCTGCTGCTGTCTCACAGATAAGCGGAGAGCTTCATTCACCAAGCAGTTAATCTGGAGCGCTTTCACCAGCACTAAATCCATACTATTTATTTAAAGATTAAATTAATGGTTCTATGCAAATTTGCAAATTAGTTAATGACATAATTGCATCAAATGATAAGTATAGTGCTGCACAAAGCTAGGCAGGGAGATCATTTCAGGCCTGGGTTTCCTCTTGCTGTGCCATTCAGACAGCTTGTCACCCAAGTGGAGCTGGGCTCAGTGCCTTTGTGGAATGCATGCATGGTTGAGACAGGGCTCTATACCCTCCCCCCTCACCTGAGTATTGCTGCAGCACAAAGATTATTGCTCATAGCTGTGCAGGGTGTGCTGGAAATGCCTTCCCAATTTGGGTTCTTATTTTAAGATAAGGGAAAATGATCACCAATTGGTCATGTTTCTTCAAAAAAATCACATGTTCTATAACTGAAAAAGTAGGTCAGAAGTTGCAAACCTTCAGCAATATTTTCTAGAAAAAGTCAAAGGTAAATGCACTTTCAGAGAGCAGTCACTGTGAGCTGCTCATTATATTTCATCTTGGGCTGAGGTATTTCCTTTCCAGCTCATGTAGTCAGAACTGTCTTGTAGGAACACAACCATCTAAACAGCTGCTCTGAGTGGGACTTCGCTCAGAATCCAGTATCTGGCACCAGCTGATGCCTAAGAGTATCACAAATAAGCAGTCAGGTGATGATTCTTCCTTGGTGCTCTGTCCTCAGCTGCCTCTGTTCTGCAGTTACGGGACCTCCTGAGACAGCGGTGGCACCGAGGAGCAGTGACAAACTGGCTCTCACGACATATGCTGTGCCCTATTTGTTTCCTAAAATAGTTTTATTTTCTTTCTGAAACCTTCCTCATCCTCATAGATTCGTATGGGTTTATGGAGTATTCCCTATTCTTTTTGCTTGGGGTTAAATCTATCTGTAAAACATTTTAATTGTGGCATATAAGAGTTACAGAAACCTTTTGAGGATTAGATGTGAGCAGTGTAGGCAGTAGACAGGAACCTTTGACACTGAAAACAACTCATAACTCCCTGACACAACAAGGAATTGTCTGTTTTGGAAATGAGAATGATAAAGTGGTTGGAAAAGTGGTTGTGTATGTGAGGATTAAAATGGAGAAGGGGCAAGTGACAGAGAGAGGCTGATACAAATGTGGAGTAAAGAAATAATAGCAATAACCTTCATTGTGATAACCTACTAATGCCTTGCATGTCAATCCCTTTCCCACCTTCAGCTCTGCTTTTGGATCAGCTTTACTGCCTCCCTCCCCATCCCCTGGCACCTGTTTATTTACACAGGAACACCTCTGAGCAAACTAACCTTATTTGCTAGCCAATGTCCTGGGTCCTGTCATCAAAGCTGCAGCGTTTCTAATCTGTTTTCACTTATGTTGCTGATTCTGCCATGGCTGCTGGCTAATCACACAATCTGCTTTGTAACCTTGTCAACTCTGTCCAGGCTGGTAGTGTTGCAGCCCTCACTTACCCATAGCCACTTCTAATGCCAAAGCTTATATTTGAGCTCTGGTGTCCAGAACTGAAAGGTTAATCCTCCAAACCCTCCAGCACTCAGATCTCCTCTCGAGAAACACTTTTTCAGACCATTCTTCAGTGTACTATCACCGTGCTGGGAAGAATGTAGAAAGATGCCCTTTTAAGATAATGACATTAAACCTTAGGTCTAAACTCACTTTACATGACACAGATTTTGTTACTTTTCCAGCAGATTTTCTTATTGATTTCTCCTGAGCCTCTCAAGGCACACTCACATCTTCAGGTTTCAGAAGGATTTCAGAACAGAGTAGAGTGGAAAGTTTTCTTGACCTTTCTGACCATCGCTCTCCTCAGGATGTGCTCTCTCTAGGTAACGAGTAACTAGGAGAAACTCATCTGGATAAAAGGTCACTTAAGTTGTGTACTCCTTTAGTGCCATTTATTGATTGTACTTTATTTGGGGACATCATCTGCTGGAACAGGAGTTTAATATTTGGGTCACTGGCCTTTATCACAAGTTGACAATCTCAATTTCCAAAAAGAGGTGTCTTGGAGGTAAAGTGAATGGATGATAATCTTACGATGCATCAATTATACAAACTTCTAAATGACCTCTTATTCTCAAAAGACAAACATTAATATTAACTACCTATCCATCCCATTTTTATTGGAATGGTTTTACAATTTTAATACAGCATCAATTCCACGAAACTGTTCCTTGGATGGAGGCCAATAACAAACTAGGTATGTGTATGCAAGAATATTAAAAATCCTAAGCTCTGCCCGTCTGAAGATTGATATAGCACAGTATCTTTTCTCTGTCAAGAAACAAAAATTGGACCTTTCAGGAAGAACATAAAATCAGTGTAAGCAACTAGTGATATTTCCCTTCAGTCTCCTGTGGCTCAACATTTCTAGTACCAGATGTGGTTTCCATATTTTAGGCA